TGTGATCAATTTGCTCCCTCTCTAGAACATCATTTAGTAGTCTGTGTAGGCTTGGCTTTGTCATCATGAAATTCTTTAGTTGTTCTTTGTCATCAGCCTGGGCTACTTATTGAAACCTTGTCTATAAAAAAAAGTATATATAAAATAAAATAAAATAAATTGATAACGGCTATAAAACATGGATGATCTAATCACTACATGTCTTTAAAATGGAAAAGTATACAATTAAAGGTCTTGGGGCCAGGGAGATAGCTTGGCGGTCTAAGTGCCTGCCTGGCAAGTGTAAAGACATGGCTTCGATCCCCGTACTGCATATCGCACTCCAGGTGTGCTGAGCTGGCCACCGGATCCAGGTGTGGTAGTGCACCCCTGTAACCCCAGCACACATCCCTGTAACCCCAGCACTGGGGAAGCTGAGACAGGATGATCACTACGAGTCTGAATGACTTGGTAAGACCCTGTACCAAATAAATAAATAAAACATTAAAAAAAAAAAAAGGTCTTATCTTTAGACCTTTTTAGCATAGATTTTTTGGGGTTTTTTTTTCATACTCATAGTGATCCTCCTGTTTTCAGTCTCCCCAGTGCTGGAATTACAGGTGTGCACCACCATGCCCGGACTCGGTAACCGGCTCAGCACGCCCTGGGGGCAGAGCCAGCACTCCATGTGGTGCTGGGGATGGCATTCTGGCCTCTGTGTTTGCCTAAGGAGGCGTTTAGTCTGCTGAGCAATCTTGCTGGCCCCATTTTAGCTTTTGTTTAGAAATGTCTGGCTTTTTCTTTTTAAAATTTTTTTTTAAAAAAAGGTTAAAAAAAAAAAGGAAAGAAGAGAGACAAGAACAACAATTCAAGGTTTCTTAAAAGCAAGCTGTAACAGTCAATCATATGTCCAACCTACATAATCTGAGTAACAGATTTGATGATAAAAATAGATAGCACATCAACCATTGCTAATCAGCTGTTCTTGTTTTGAAAACCTGTAACACATGTATTGTATGTTACCCTGTTTCTGTCTTTGTTTCTGATTTTTGTTCTTGCTTTTGTTTTCACTTTTCAAAAATAAATTAAATTTTAGAAAAGAAATATTTGACTTCAACATTTTTCTACTAATATTCATATTAATTAATTGTTAATTAATATTAATATTTTGTGTTGTATTTTGAATGAAAAAATTCAAATAGGTGGAAAATAATATAAGAAATATTAGAGGACTTAAAATTCAGCTGGAACAAATCTTAGCAAAATTTTTGCCACATTCCCTTAGAGTTGACCACAGAAGTAGTCCCATAGGGCAGGGTAAAAGCCCACAAACAGTTCTACTCTTCGCTGATGATGGCAAGCAAAAATGCATGAAATCAGAGGAATGAAGTTTGTACATAAACAAATTCATCTTTGGCTATCTGCTGCTCTTTCTATAACAGAAGAACATGGTCCAGTAGCTAGGACAATTCTAGGCTCTGAAGATAGACAGACCTACATGCAAGTCCTGGGTTTGTTTCCTGCCAGTCACATGGCCTTATGTTGTTTGACTTCTCCTTGCCTCAGTTTCCTCCTCTGTAAAACAGAGATCATCATACCACTTCCCAAGTTTGGTGGGAGAACTGAAAGAGAACTGTGGGCACTTACATACTTACTATGTACAGTCAGTGGCACCGAGTGAAGCTTCCGTAAGTATTAATAATTACTTGCTTTGTCTATGGAGTGTTCACCCGACTGCTAGTCACTTGTCTAATGCTAAGACTTCAGTAGTGAACGAGAAAGACCTCTGAAGAACTTTAAGCGATAAATAATAAATAAGTAAACAAGATAATTGCAAATGGTCACGGGAGCATGAAGAAGATAAAGTATGTGGAAGGGGCGAGGGAACCACACTAAACAGAAGACAGGAGGTGGTGGGAGGCTTCCAGAGGTGCCATTTAACTGTGGTTGGCAGAAGATTGGAAGGTTCTATTCCTTATAAGCTTGGGGAAATAGAGAAAATAGTATATCCCGGCCAGACAGATAGCTGGGCCTGCTTAGGCAGAGTGCAGCGGCCTGGGTTCGATCCCCAGCAGGCTATGCCAGCCCCACCCCTGGGGCACACCGAGATGACTGTGACTGGGTGTGGTGGTGCACACCTGTAATCCCAGCGCTTGGGAGGCTGAAAACAAGAGGATCACTACGAGTCCGATCTGGGTAGTGAGACACTGTAGACCCTCTGATATATATATATCAGAAAATAGTATGTCCCTAGGCCCTGAGGCAAGAAATCCTGATTTGTACAATAACAGAAGAACCAGCAAGGCGTGCTTAGTGTCAAGAAAGCCAGGCTGAGAAGGGCCATAGTGTTCTGCCATTGAGCTACCTCTCCAGCCCCAAAGAAGGGTCACAGTAAAGATCTTGTATTTTATTTTTAAAAACTGTAAAAGACATGGAGTGGTTTTTAAAAAAATTACTAATGCTAGTGAGGTACAGCACTCTGCTCGGGAGAGGAATCTGTGATTTCTTATAGCTTTGTTTTTGGGGCTGGGGAGATGGCTCAGTAGAGTAAGTAATTGCCTGGCAAGCACAAGGGCCTGAGTTCAATCCCCGGTTCTGCAAAAAAAAAAAAAAAAAAAAAAAGTATGTTTGTACATATAGTAAGCACAGGCTTTAGAAACCACTTTTCTGGGGATATTACATTGTTTACTCCTGGGCTCCCTCTAGTGGGTTCAGAGGCTCAGTTCACATGCTTTCAGATAGGCGATAACAAACCAAGAAACAATTTATGCGATTTATCAAATATTTATTGGATTCCCTACAGCACGCCAGTCTCTGGTGCTGACATACTCTCCTGGACCAAGCAAACATCTTTGTCCTCATGGAATTTACATTCTGGTGGGACAGACATTAAGCCAAACTTGCAAACTACTTATGGGATGGGATAAATGTTAGTAGAGAAAGGTTGTGTGAGGAACTGAATAGAAAGTAACAGGAGGATTGTAGTGTTCCCATTTTAAATACAGGGTCAGGGTAGATCTCATTGAGAAAGTGATAGTATTTGAATTAAGATATAAAGGAAGTGTCAGGGTAAATGACAGATGTTTAAGGGAAAGCATTTCAGACAGAGGGGTCAGCAAGCACAAGCATCCAGAGCCTACCTGCAGCATTGAGCAAGCGCTAAGAGGTGTATTTTTTTTTTTTTTTTTGTGGAGCCGGGGATTGAACTCAGGCCCTTGCGCTTGCCAGGGAAGCGCTTATTCTACTGAGCCATCTCCCCAGCCCCTAAGAGGTGTATTTTATGTGCAGGGACGATGCTCTAGGACAGGATGTTATTTGTACTGGAGGGTGTCAAATCTTGACGGTTTTGTACAGCCAATGTAAAGATTTTGTTTTCACTCCAACATAGTTCATTGGAGGGGGGAAATGATCTGCTGAATGTTTGAACAGGAGCCTTCGGCTACCAGATTAATAGATTCTGGTGGTGCATAAGGATGTTCAGGGGGTCATTCAGATTGACTGGGTTAAGCCAATGGAGTGGATAAATGGTCTGGTCCTGGTCAGATATTGAAGGCAGCTCCAACAGATTACGCTGATGAATTAGATGTGGGGTGTGAAAAAGGAGTTAGAGTTTAGTGAATAATGTTGCTTAGTAAATTGTTACCAGAGAAAGATATGGCCAAAGAATATATAATTAAGAAATTTAAGAGGAAAAAGTAATCAAGAGAGCTACCAAACAGTTAATAAAAAGTTTTCCCCCTGAATTTCTAATTTGTGGTATTTATGAGCTAGTTTTCTTTTTAAAGATTGTGATTTCTTTTCTCATTATAGTATAGGAAACTTAATTTTGTATTGAATATTGTATTCTGTGATTTTGGATTTTTTTTTTTTTTTTTAACACAGGATCTTGCTATGTAGTCCAGGTTGGTCTTGAACTCACTTTAGCCTAGGCAGGCCTGAAACATGCAGCGGTCCTCCAGCCTCAGTCTCCTGAGTGTTGGGATTACAGACTTGGGCCACCATGCCCAGCCAGCCATGAAGTAAATTCTAAACTCAGTGTAATGTCAAGACTAAAAGAAGTTTACCGAGAAAAAGATCACCGTGGGCTGGCCTTCGAGGTGTCTTCTAACACTTCCAACCCATTTTTTCCTCCCTCAGTTTTACTAAATCTACAGAAAGCATCTAGCATTTACTTTCACTTTCCCTTTAGGGAGCTAAGAATAACGTGTTTAAAAGACCTTGGTGAGAGGCTGAAGCAAAAAGATCCCACTTTTGAGTCGTGTCTGGACAATTTTGTGAGACTATCTCAAAATAAATAAATAAAAAAGTTGCTGAGGATGTAGCTGAGTGTGAAGGTTCTGGGTACAACGCTCAATACTGATCAAAAACCCCCAAAATGTTTGGAAAATTTAGGATGGGACTACTCTTTAAACCAGCTGTTGTAGCTAAGCAGCCCAGAAACGTCAAACTCATTGGTTCGCACAACCCAGAGGACGCCGAGCCGGGCGTGACCAGGGGGCGGAGTTAAACTCACCAGGGCTAAGAAGTGGGCGGACCCAATGCACTGCCCCGCCCCAAAAGGCACGACGCATGCGCCCATCGGCCTCTGGCCGAGCGAAGTGCGGATCGTGAGGTGACCCTGCTACTTACTTCCGGTTCCTAGGGATGCGCATCCGGGTCACGCTAACGCCGCGGCTTCCTCCCCTGTGTTGGTTCTACTCAGCGTCTGGGCCGGTCTGCATGTCTTACTGTGGGGTCTCTGCAGCCCTTGAGTGAGTCTTCTCCCCAGACAGAGTCGGAAGTGCGGCGGGTCGAGCGCGGCCTGTGGGGGAGGGGTCGGGAGTCCTGCCTCGGTTGCTGAGGGTGGGGGTCTCTTCGCCTTGTTCCTTGTCTCGGCGGTTCTTCCCTCACTTCAGCCCTTTACCTCACGGTGGCCTCGCCTCTCTCACCTCAGTGTAGCCCTTCTTTGCTCAAACTCATCTGCCCCTTTGTAACCCGGCTTCCTTGCCGTCGCCTCAGTCACTGCCTCTCCGTTTTCCTCCTTTTAGCACCTCTTTTCCTTGACTCCGTGAGCCGGGACTCTCACAGTTCTTCAACCCGTGGGACAGCCCACCTCCTCATTGTGTGCGTCCTCCTTCACTCCGAAACCAGTTCTTTTTTTTTTTTTGTGATCTTGGATCTCGGCTTTTCACCTTTCCCCAACTTTGGCCTTTTCCCTTCTCTTGAGACTGGCAGATAGGTGTCTTTTAATGCTGTGCTGGGAGTTGTACCTTTTCTTAGCTAGAGGGTCTTTGCTAAAGCCCTGGGCTGGGAAGACTTGCCTCCCCCTTGTTTTGCTTGGAAGTACGGGGTTAGGCTGGACTCTGGTAGCTTCCGTGCTAGAGGACAACAAAGGCGTTTTCAGTTGTTTGCTGGAGTTCAATTTTGGTGCTCGCTCGCTCTCGAGCCGCTAACAGGTGGCAGGCACACGGTACTTCGCGGTTGGGCTTGTGTGGTCTTGTTAATTGACAGGTCATGAGGACGTTCTGTCAGTTTTGTGTTCTCTATCCCATGAGAATGGATGTGCACAGCTGAGGCAAAAATGTTCTGGGATGGTCAGCTCTATGTTCTGCCTGGGCTTTACTTGGAGGACAGTTGCCCTGCCAGGACAGAGTGTCTTGGGAGGGTATTAGCTTCAGATTTATAAACCTACTGTCAGAAATTTTACTCAGTTGTTATTGATATTTACCCGTAAGAGTTCACCGTTGTAATTTCAAAAAACTTTGCTTTAGTTGAATGCGGCATGCAGATACATATACTTATCCTTGCTACCTATATATATTGCTTATATATATATTTACTATATTACATATTTTCTGTTTTTCTTCCTGGGTTTCCGTGAACTAGACATTGGAGTACTTTTATTTATTTTTTTGGTACCGGGTATTGAATTTAGGACCTTCTGAGCTATCTCCCTGGCCCTATTTTATTATTTTAAAGAGTAAAGACAAATAGAAACAAAGACCAAAACAGAGTAACAAGTGTCAGTACAAATGATACAGAGTCCCAAAGCAAGAATAAAAACTCAACAATAGCTATTATGTTTCTCTGGAGATTTTAAATCATCAATAACATTGAAGGGATTGAATGTAATAGTAATTGATATCCTATTTCCCAAGTTTTGCGGTATAAGGTATATATTGAGGCACCAGCCTTGAGAATCCTTTGTTTTTCTGCTGTTTATAATGGAGGCCTATTATTCACTGGATTGCAGAGATTAGTGTATATGTATGTATGTATGACATCAGTTTCTGTAATCATATAAATTGTGTTCTAAAATTCAGTATTTAAATGTGATCAGAACCAATACAGCTTTTATTATCTTTTGCATGAGTTCTCACTCATTATGTACATATGAGAATGTAAGATAGACTGGCTTACTCTAAAAATTGCACTACTCCCTTTTCCTATTTTTAGAAAAGGACTTTGGAGTTTGGCCATGTTAGACCTAGATACCACAGAGCAGGACCCTTCTGGTTAGCTAGTTAGTTAGTTAGTTTTCAGGGCTTAACTGCTGAGGGAAGCCCCTTTGAAGTTTTTTATCTGTACTCCATAGCACCTACCCTGGAAAACCAGCTGCTCAACAATCTGGTCTCATTTTCCATCCTTGAAAACTAACTCCAATGAGTATGGCTGTTTCCAGTTGCCTCCTTGCCTCTAGATTTGTGGGAGTTTTAGAAAGCCATGGGAACTTCATAGATACACCCATATTCAGGTTGGTGCAGGACCAACTTGCTTTTTTTTT